CCCTCCCCCCCATCCTCCTGTTCCCTTCTCCTTATTAAAATGTTTGTAATTTTCAACTGTTTTGCCTTCACTAAGTACAAAGCCTATAATACACGTAAAACTAACACTAAAAAGTACATTCTGTCTTTTTCGAAATATTTTCAGTCGCCTTTTCATCTCTCATTCAAATTCTGTTAAAATAACTTAACAAACATAAGATGTATATTTCAATACATTGTCAAACAGATAAGTTTTAAATTAAAAAGCTAATATCAAAAATCTACTTTAATGGGTAAAAATGGATTTTTAACCAGGACCTCTAGTTTACCGTTAGATAGGTTTTGCCTGTTTTTTCTTGTAATATTTTAAGCATTTACAGATTACATTTCTTTAAAAAAATTCTTTTTAATCTTTATATAAAATAAAATTTACAAAAAAAAATTCATCTCGTCATTGAAGTTTTTCCTTTTTCAATATTATAGAAGAAAATCTTTGAAGTTTTAAAAAAAAATGTTGATAAAAAATGAGAATGATTTTCTTTAGACACCCTATACGGCTAAGATTCAATGCTTAACAACAACAAAAAAATAAAAGTAATAAAAGGTCTTTCCATTGAGTATAAATATTTAAAATGGCGTAAGCAGGTTTAAATATATTTAGAACTTGATATATTCTTTGTAATACATTTTTTACCTTTTAGAAAACCACGTCCAGAACTACTCTGTCGACGGGGCGGATAGTTTTTAACAAACTTTTTTACTCTCTCCCATATTTTTCCATTTCCCCGATCTGAAATAAAAATGTTAGATTTTCAAGTTTTTGTTCTACAGAGTAAAAAAGTGCACCCTAAATTATGAACTCAAAAGAAAAACCCACCTACAGGGTGTCCCACGAAGCATGACAGTTGGTTTTAAGTAGTTTTAAATTAATTTGTCATTTTACAGGAAAATATATTTGAGTAAAAGATTTTTCTAACGAAGTAAACTTCAAGAAGTCTTTAATATTATATATAGTATACGGAAGAAGACATTTAAAACCATTCGCCAACTGTTATGTTTCGTGGGAAAAAAATCTCAAAAAATTGTTAAAAAGTTGGATGAGTGGCAAATTAGTGATTTTTTGATGAATAAAGACGATTTATTTTTATTTTTTAACTTTGAGATTGGACCTCAATTAGTGTGCTCTGAGCTGTGAACTAAAAACTAAATTAAAGATATTGAAAAGTAGAGTTTTTTATAGATTCTCAATAAAAAGTGCTCACAGTGGGTCATGATCATGGGATTGGGATTATGAGTAAAAAAGTTCCAAGCTTTAAAAAAAATTTTAAGAGCTTGAAAGTTTATAACATGACAGTTGGTTTTAAATAGTTTTAAATGACTTCTTCCATAATTTGTCATTTTACAGTAAAATATATTTGAGTAAACGATTTTTCTAACGAAGTAAACTTCAAGACGTCTTTAATATCTTATATAGTATACGGAAGAAGACATTCAAAACCATTCGCCAACTGTTATGTTTCGTGGAACGCCCTGTATATTAAACAAAAAATTTCAAAAAATTGTTAAAAAGTTGGATGAGTGGCAAATTAGTGATTTTTTTTATGAAAAAAGACGATTTATTTTTATTTTTTAACTTTGAGTTTGGACCTCAATTAGTGTGCCCTGAGCTGAGAACAAAAAACTAAATTAAAGATATTAAAAAGTAGAGGATTTTATAGATTCTCAATTAAAAGTGCTGACAGTGGATCGTGATCAAGTGATTGGGATTATGAGTAACAAAAGTTCCAAGCTTTAAAAAAAATTTTAAGAGCTTGAAAGTTTATGCACAATAATTGTGGTTCAAACTGAATATATATAAATTTAGATCGATAAAACTGTGCAAAAGGATGACGACATTTAAAAAATCTTCAATATATTTGATGCTGTTTTTGTTAAAATAGGTTTACCCGTAAATAGCTTGAAAATAAACTTATAAAGTGAAATGCAAAATTTCTAAATAACTTAAGTCTAAACGTCGTCTTCCTATTCAACAGTTGTATGGGTCCTGCTATTTTAGAATAAAGCTCTCACGTTTACGGGTTGGTCTTTTATGAATGCCAATTCCTCTTGGCTCATGATCAGTCCCATCACTCGCAAGCGTAGTAGTTTCATCGTTAAATACTTCTTCAGTGTTAGGAGGAGATAGAGTGTCAATGGAGGACTCTGTATAGATATCAGGAGTTTCATGAGAATCTGTCAAATCCTCCGAAATGGATTTGGAGTCTACAGAAGATATCTCAATGGAAGAATCAAAGGATTCTGGTATAAGTTCACTGCTACTGGTGTAGGCCCAGGTACCAATATCAGTTGGATTTGACTCTAAAGAGCTGTCAGTACTTGATATCCAGGAGGTGATTTCAGCTCTAGGACTTGTGGAACTTATTTCCGGACTGGGACTAGAAGACAAGATCTCAGGATTCGGTGTCCAAATCTCTTTCTCCGCATTAGGACTCCAATGGTCTTTTTTATTTCCACGGGCTGATGAAGAACTTGTACTCCAAGATGTACTGTCTTGGCTTGGACGAGATAATGTTATTTCTGAATTCCAAGAGGTTGTTTCTTGATCTGGAGCATCGGTTCCCCTTGTCCTTCCTTTTGAAATAGAAACTGATGAAACAGTGCTTTCTTTTTTATTCAAACCATGTTCTTCATAACTTAACTTACTTTGATTATCCTGAAATGATAACTTTTGAATGGTTGTGGTTGGATTTTTGACTTGAGCAGGTAAATTATTCTCTGTTATATCAAGATGGGCAGAGTCAATTTTCCATTCATCCCACAGTCCACTGTTCTGGAAAGGGGTGATTTTATTTACTTGGGAAATAGAGTTACTTGATTTTACCGATAAAGATGGGACTCTTTCGAAACTATTTGATTTCAGGTTGGATGGAGCGGTAGGCTGTGTTTTGAAAGGATTTGATGGACTGGTAGGCTGTGTTTTGAATGGGTTAGATGGAACGGTGGGTTTGAACTGGTTGTATGGAATGTTAGGTTGAGATTGGAACGGGTTTGAAGGAACAATAGGTTGAGCGATCCAAGAAGAGAAAGAAGATGATGTCTGTTCCAGCTCAGAACTGTAACCAGCAGGTAGTGAAGGAACATCCTCGGTGGTAAACTCAGACTGAACAGGTGTGGGTCCCCATGGAGCATCATGAACTGCAGGGGGCTCAATCTGGTTTGTATTATGTCCTAAAACCTCTCGTTTTATATTTCCAAACCTCGCCTGACTGTACATATCTGAAGGGTGGAGAGGAAGGTCGGAGATGTAACTACGATCAAGGGGTTGGTATGCTTTAGGTAAACTTGAACCCGATTCCGAGGACCTCTGGAATTTAGAACTTGGTTTTGAGGATCTCTCCAAGGCAAAACTGGGTTTTGAGGACATCTCCCAGGCAGAACTGGGTGCTGAGGACATCTCGGAGGCAATAGAAACGGAATTTCTGGCAAGGCGACGCGTAGGTGTCGGAGGAACAGAAAATTCAACAAATTTACCTGAATTATTTTTTTTGAAGGGATATTGTTCACCTATTTAATATAAGATACTGATCATATGTTTAAGCCTATTTTACTCACAGACGTACAACATACTTCTAGAACTGAATTAAAGTACATCACTTCATTCATTGTATTTCAAGTCATTGTTCACAAGAATCGATAACATTTTTGGACAATATAAATGTCTGAGTTTCTGATAAAAAAAACGCTTTTTATTTGAGATTTGAGATAAGGCGAATAAATAAACGATGGAGATTTTTAATTAAAGTTCTGACCCTTAAAAATGTTTTTGAGTGACAAGTTCTTCATTTTTAAAGTCTAGGGTAATTTAAATGTTTTGAATTGTGTAAACGTAATCTCTATATAAAGAATTTCTTGTATTTATGAAAAGTTTGAGTTACCCATAAATTGTTGATCTGGCGGCAACTCTTGATAGAAATAGGAATAGCTGGTATCCCCTGAACATAATATTTTAAAACTAGACTGGACAGTACGACATATACAGTTGTACTGGCACAGATTAAGCTAATCTTAGGCTGGGGTACAATAAGTTAAACATGATCTAGATACTTAAAATTTTATTATTTTTTCTTTTCCGGGAATGGAAAACCGAAATTTATTTGTGTAAACAATATTTCAATTAAATTAAGATAGAAAATGAATTTTAAGTCCCTTGCCCAACAAAATGATACTGTCTCAAACAGTTTTTATTGTAAAGGACATAAAATAAAAAAGTATTTAAAAATAAAGGAAAAAATAAAACTGCACTTATTTCAAAACAAACTTAGACAAAGAAATTGATTCTTTTCCACGAACTTAAGTTTTTAAATCCCTACATCTTTGCTACCGGTGGTGTAATATTTCAAACTTATATTATTTGATCTGACAAACATTTTAGCTTTCCATATCTAAGGTCTAAGTTGCAAAGATATAGGAAATAGAAAATCAGAGTTTGTGGCAAAGATTCACTTTTATTATCACGTTTTATAGAAAAATTTTGTCTGATAATACAATTTAAAATGTCACCGTGAAGTAATTACAGCTGTACTACATACATATATCTTCTATTGACACCTTTATTATTAATAATAATCTATAACGTTTTTACCTGAAGTTGGAACTGAAGACAACATTTCCCCTTCTGATAACTTGGCTCCAGCCATGCACAAGCTGAGAACCATCCATCTCCTCATTTTTCTAATCCAGAGGACGAGTAAAAATAAACTATAGTTTTCTAATCCAGAGGACGAGTAAAAATAAACAATAGTTTTCTAATCCAGAGGACGAGTAAAAATAAACAATAGTTTTCTAATTCAGAGGACGAGTAAAAATAAACTATAGTTTTCTAGAGAAATGATTTGGAAAAATTCGATTTGCTGAAATTGTGTTGATTAACCCATTTAGGGTTCAATATATTCTTGCAATAATTCTTTTTGGACCTGATTTGAAAAGTCTCAAAATCTAAACACTTGGCACTTGTTCTGATTTGTTTTCCCTATATCTATGCAACCTAATGTCGAAGACGTTTAATATTTTAAACAAAGAATTCTGTCGGATCAAGTAGTTAAGGTCTTAAATCTTAAAGGCTTAAACTTTCTTTTTGCAGAGATATAGCTGGACTAAATAATTTCAGTGTGAGACAAGTTGTCAATTAAAATAAATGTTTACTGTTTTGATGTAGATACTCACTTGATCACGTTTTTGAAAAAAATGTTTACAAATTTTACAAATTTAGCCCTAAACTAATAACTCATATTGTCAAACTAGCATACTATTGTGTATTTGTATATGAACTGAGCTAAAAAATTTTGAATGGTGGATCTCGAGATCAATGCTTCATCCTCTCTTTTTCTTAATCTCAACAAGACTAATTAAGTCTTTAGATTAATTTCTGATTTTTAATTTTTCCGCATTTGTGGTGTCATATCAATTGAACTAATGATCGATTGAACTAACGTAAGTTTTGGATTAACGTTTATAAAGACTAACGTACAAAATGACTATAGTCCTCAAAGTCAAATGTGATAAAATGTGTTGTTTAAAGGGAGAATTCGCGAAAAATCAAAATTTCGCTAAGAAACCCTTTAATCCAAGTTTAAAATATTGTAAAGTTGCAAAGATGTGGGACTAGAAAATCAAAATCTCTTGACACAAAATATATATTTTGTCCTAGTATAATGTATAAAGTAAAATATTGGTATAAACTTGTATCATATTCAATGGTTTGGAACAAACTGAATTCAGTAAACTACTAAAACTACTAATTCAAATTATCCAAACTATCATACTTTTTGTTGGAAAAGGGGGGGTAGTCTCGGTAGTCAAACACAGGATAAGAAAATTAAAAACTGAAGTTATTTAGATTTCAGGATTAATCTTTTTCGTGTAATCTTAGAATAATTCGACATCGACCTCTCCCCACTCCCCACCCCCATTCCCTTCCACTTGTTCCCTATATGCCCCTAGACCTAGGGATGCACCAGCGTTATGTGGTAAAATTATTCAAGCATTAAAGTATATGATATTCTCAACTCTGGTGTTTTGCAGAATTTATCACAAAAATAAGTAAAGTTTTTCTGGAAATATTATTTTCTATATAATAAAGCTAGATTGGCTCAATATATATATATATTTATATAAAATATAAGAAGACCTGAGATTACATCTTAAAGAACCGAACTTTTGGCTGAAAAATGCTAATTAGTTTTCAATCTAAGATTCAATATCTTGTATTTCTAATTTATATCTTGTATTTCTAATTTATATCTTGTATTTCTAATTTATATCTTGGATTTCTAATTTATATCTTGTATTTCTAATTTAAATCTTGTATTTCTAATTTATATCTTGTATTTCTAATTTACTTCTTGTATTTCTAAGTTATTTTGTCGTATTTCTGATTTAATTTCTGGTGTACTAAATATTTTTCTGGTATTTCTAATCCTATTTCGGATATTTCATATTCAGTTTCTTGCATTTATAATATAAATCCTCCAATTTCTGATTTTATATCTAGTTCGATTTCATGTTGAAAAGAGAATTGAGTCTTTGCCACAATTTTAAATTATATATTATTAGATTATTTGAACTAAGTAAATTCCTAGTTTGAAATATCTCAGGTTTACACCATCAGATTGCAAAGATATAAGCATAAGAAAATTAGAGTTTGTGAGTGTGGCAAAAACTTAATTATCTTTTTAGATGACAATAAGATTCCATGCAAGCTTGCAGGGTCACTGCACTTTCATTACAATTAATATTTTCAATAATTTAGAACACTGCGTCAAGGGGAGAGAGATAGAGTTTAAATATTTTATCTTAAGAATAAATTTTTTGAACAAATTTTATTATCGAAGTTTTCATAGCTCTAATTGAAATTCATTATTTTTCATCACGGTTTTCTTTCAAAATAACTTGCGGATTTCTAAAGCAAAAATATTTTTTACAAAACACATGTTTTAAGCTGGAAAAATAATGATATCTTTCAAATTAATAATCGGATTAGATTTGAAGCCGTCACCTGGAGCCAGACAGTTATAAAAATTTTCCTCAATTTTTAAGACTTGGTCAACTTTAAAGTTACGCAACGCATTGGCGTTTAATCTTATTTTCCTAACCATATCTACAATTCAAAACTTTAAACTACTTGATTTTGGCGTTAGATTTAAATTAATTAAGATGAAATGTATTATATGTATACTTTTATTTTTAATGTATTCAAGAAAATTACTTAAGTACAGTGAGATTTATATAACTCAGGAATAAGAAGATAGTTTTACCAGTTTAGCTTGAAAATCAAATAATTTAGTGAACACCATAAGTTCGCTTCGATTTATATTAATGATCTTGAATTATGCCTTGAGTCTTATAAGTCGTCTTTATCATTCTTCCTCACTTCATCGTGAATTCCATAATAAACGTGCTATAAAGTAATCATCGTACTTTAAAGTTGTATGAGTAGTACATTATAGCACGTGTGCTTTAAAGTTTTGATTGGTTCCCGGATTTTCTCCAAAAAATTTAGGATATTAAGATTAAAATCAACTTTCTATTTTTAATTCTTCTTTTTTTTCAAAGCTTATTTGATCTAGAAATACTAAACGTTTCATAAAAGTCTTGAACCTTCTCGATAAAGAGAAAATTTCTGTCCAAAAACTTTATAAATAGTTATTACAAGTATAGATTGAAATTCAAATAATTGAGTGAACACTACAGGTTTGCTTCGATTCATATATATTAATCTTTGACTATCTTAAATTATGCCTTGAGCCTTAAAAGTCGTCTTCTTATCTACAGTTTTTGGTATCATATTTTTTAAACTTATAATGTTTTAAAAATTCAAAAATTGGTTTTCTTCCAAATATCTTCTCAAAAAAAAGAAGCTATGATCGAAAACAAGGGCGATTTTAAAGTTACGTGAACAATATATGATTATCAAATATGATACTATTATTCTAGTGACTTTATGAAGGGGAGGGAGTGTGAATATATATAAATAATTTATAATGATCTTGATTACCAAGAAAAATCATATTTCAACAATTACGCTTTAGTTCCGCATAATAATTACTGTTTGTTTGAAAAATATTAAAAATAAAACAGAATAAATTTGAATCTGATGCCAAGTTTGGAATCATTTTTCAGCGTAATTCATACATTAACACTATATTAACCAGAAATCTATGGAAGGATTTAAATAAAGCTCTTTGCTCATATTCACCCTTTTAGGCTATATTTATAAGGTTCAAACGTGGGACCCACATTTGTCGGAAGGTACAAACCTTCGGGCTGGTACCAAACGTCGGACTGGGACAAACGTTGGACTAGTAAAACGTCGGGGACAGATACATTTATAAAGAAAAACGTCTGACCTTGGTTGATTTTGAAAAAGGGCTGCATTGTTATAAGAAATAAAAAATCACTCACTTATTGTGATAAAAAATCAGATAACTGAATAAATTCTTAACCTTTTGAAGGTAGCAACTCTACAACAGAACTAAAATGAGTTGTTGACACAAACTCTGATACTTTAATGCCTATATCTTTGCAACCCGATATCGTAGATCATTGATACTTCAACCTATGAAATCTATAAGATTAAGCGGTTTAAGTTTGAAAGTATCAAAGGTTAATACTTTCACGGATTGGTTTAGAAAAGGAGACAAAATTTTAATAAATAATCTTAAAATTCAAATAAGTTTTTTTTTCCTTAGTCCGACGTTTTTACTGGTCCGAGTGGTCCGACATTTGTACTGCACTGACGTTTACAAGTCTTAGGTTTGTACCGTCCGACGTGTGTGGGTCTGATATTTGTACTGAAACCTTTACATCATTATGTTTAAAGAGTTTCAGGTCGTCTTTACAGCCTTATTCTTTGTGGATAACCCTGTATATATGACATGTGGCATCTGATTTATGAATTGGTTTTCAGGTCAAGCGATTCATTTGTTCCGCTTAAAGATATATTACGCTATACCAAGTAGTTACATACAGTGTATCTCAAATAATATGATACAGGGGTATCCACAAAGGACGACACTTCACAGTCGAAGCTGTACGAAATTTGTCCAGTTTTTTTCTTATTATAAACTTTAAACTGTTGATTTCTTTGCCAAATAATACATTATATAATTAAACTTATAAAATACAATTTATATGAAAACTATTAAAGAGTTTTAGGTTTTTACTACAGTACTGTAGTGTACTGTACTGTAGTGTACTGTACCGTAGTGTACTGTACTGTAGTGTACTGTACTGTAGTGTACTGTACTGTAGTGTACAGTACTGTAGTGTACTGTACTTTAGTGTACTGTACTGTAGTGTACTGTACTGTAGTGTACTGTACTGTAGTGTACTGTACCGTAGGGTACTGTACTGTAGTGTACTGTACTGTAGTGTACTGTACTGTAGTGCACTGTACTGTAGTGTACTGTACTGTAGTGTACTGTACTGTAGTGTACTGTACTGTAGTGTACTGTACTGTAGTGTACTGTACTGTAGTGTACTGTACTGTAGTGTACTGTACTGTAGTGTACTGTACTGTAGTGTACTGTACTTTCTCGGACCGATTATAATATAATTATGTTTTATTTAGATAAAATGCGCCATTTGTTGCGAGTCGAAGGAACTGAATTTTTTCGACAAACTTAAATATGCATTTCCTTGCAACGTTGTGGCGTATGGAGAAAACCTTTGATATTTCAAACTTTTTGATTTAACAGAATTTACATTCTGAAATTTCAAAGGTCTATGACATTGGGTTGCAAAGTAATATGGTTTTAAAAAATGTGGATTTGTGACAAAAACCCAATTACTTTGACTGCATGAATCTAAAAAGTCAATAATAAAGAATAAAAAAGTCTTTTCTGAAAGCCTAGACGGATTGCACCCTCAAGATTATAATGCAAGGAAAGTTAATTGCAGTTGCGTATACTATGGGCGGAATTTGTAAACAAGAATAGATTCATCAGTGTTCGTTCAGTATCCGAGGAGGATAAAAGCATTTTTATAACTCACATAATAGTTTCCTACGACCAGAATATTTCATTGATTTTTTATGTGAAAGATGAATCCCATGTCAGGCTTCGACATCCGTCTTGTCTTTACATTACCACCCAGAGACAGTACACTGCAGTACAAAAGATGCGTACACCTCTGAAATAACTTTCCTTGCATTACAACCTTGTCACCCTCAACTAACCTTTCGGTGCGTTCTACAGTAAACTGCAATACACTGACCGAAGATATAGAAGCGTAGTGTGGAGAGTGTGATAATAATGATGCAAAACTCTAGTTTTAAAACCTGTCGAAGCCTCCATTACTATTTTTAGTAGAACAAGCTAAAATGTGTATACATATTAAATTTATCAAAACCAGCATTAAAGGGAGTGACCGAAAATTTGTAATTAGTGGGACAAGATGCATTTTAAAGTGAATATACATATAAAATGAACTAGTGTAGAGAATAGTTTAGGGTCGTCTTTAAAGTCTTATTCTTTGTTAATAACTCTGCGCTGAAATTAAGATTTATTCGTACATTTTCATATTTATGTACACAAAGTCCCAATTGAGTGACGACCTTTATATCGTCTTCGATCCATGCAGTATTTTTTCATGAACACAATTATTGTAGTAATCCAGTTTAAACGTATAATATCGAACAATCCTGGTCTTGAGATTTTCAAAATGCCTACCTTTGTTGTTTTTTTCAGAATTGACGGAGATTTTGCAAAATTTGTACATATTTCAAATTATTTAATAAATCAAAATTGACTTAAGACACAAAACCTCGTAAGACTTACAGCCTCGAATATATACTTTCTTTGCCATGCACGACTTTCAAGTCTCCTCTCTTAATTTCCATGTTTTTTGAGACGCCCTGCACTATAAAGTATTTGCAAGGATACATTTTAGCCGGTACATAAATTCAGGTGTCAAGTGATACATCTGTATAACGGCACGTATATGAATATCAATAAGAACAATTATAACTGTGCAGCAGTAATTATTGATTACAATTCTTTATCAGGAGTTGAATTATATCTATTTTGGCAGAGAATCCAGGAACCGGGAATATTTCATAATTTTTAACTATGATTATTATCATTATTCTTATTTACGTGTATGATACAGCAATGGTGCTAAATCCAACCTGCAATTATCTATATATAGGAATCGCTGTTTGTTTGATTGTCTGATCATAACTTATGAACCCGTGAACCGATTTGCCCCAAATTTTGAGTGAGGGACTCGGTTCTTGGTTTAACATGAGTAAGTTGAGTGGGTTAAGTATTTTTCGTTTCCAGGGAAAACTGGGTTCCCAAGCTAGTGTTTTTATAATTCAAGGTTCATGATTATTTTTCAAAATAACATTTGGTAGATTTTTTATCGTTCGTTTATCGTTTTTTTAAACATTTTATTTTTGCTTTTATACGGAAGGAGAAAGGAGAAAGGGAAAGTTTTCGGGTGAAGGGAAGAGTGCAATTGAAAAAGGGAAAGTGGTAAAGAGGGAAAAGAGAAAAGAGGTGAACTGGAAAGGCAATCAAGGGGAAAGGGAAAGGAAAATGGATTTAGGGGCAGAGATAAGAGAGTACTTAGTTCTATTTAAGGCTAAAAAATGCGATATTTTCCACAGCAGGCTCCATTGTGTACAACTGTATTCAGGAATATTTAAGGATCCTTTGCATACGAAATTCAAAACCTTCAAAAATAGACGAAAGAATTTGAGTCTTTTCCACAAATTCAAATTTTCTCATCCCTATATCTTGGCAACCTATTATTGTAAACCTTTCATATTTCAAACTTAGATTATTTAAGCCAACAGAATTCCTAGTTTGAAATATCTAAGATATAGGGATTAGAAAATCAGAGTTTATGGTAAAGACTCAATTACTTCATAAATTTAATGTTTTATCTTAAAAGTTTCTTTAAAAATTGTAAAACTTAACCAATATTAACCCCTGAAATGGTATTATATGCAACAAGTGGCCGTTGGTTGGAAGTCAAAAACCTGTCGTGGAAATGTAGCAAGTCGTGCTGGGAGAGCTTATGAGCCATAGATAAATAAATAAACATAGAGAGCTTATGTACGCAAAATCACCAAGAATTGTACTGTCGCGAACTCATACTTCTAGGGGTCAAAGTGTACTTCAATGATAAGCGGGGTGGTTTTGTGTTTTAATGGATTTCATAATAGATTGTAAAATAACTCTGGGAATGGAACTATTTGAACAAGAATATTTCACTGAGCAATATTTTATATTGACGAGTACTGAGAAAGGACATGAGAAGGACTAAACTAACTTAAATTTCTCTCTACAGAACTCATGTACACCACAAGTACTCAATGACATAAGAACAGCCAATGTTCACAACCGACCTCTGGCCAATTTCTTATTCATTTAACCATAGGTACAACTATAGGTCGTATCTATTTATCTACACTGCTCTGGTAAAGCGTAACCATAGTGTGACTATGGTTCTACCTATGGTAGAGCGTCTAAGAAATTGGCCACTAGTTAATCTATATAATAGGAATATATTTAAAACATCTCTGTACATTTATTTCTTTTAAGATGAAAAATGTCGTCTTCAATCTATCTTCATCTATGTCATGAGCAGTCTGTGTAAATTAGTCTGTGGTCAGGGGTAAAAGGGTAATGTTTAATGCGTAATTCTAATTAGGAAATATGTGAGTACTAATTGTTACTAACGTGACAATTGTATGTTACGCATTATTACGCATTATGGAATAATCTTAACATTAATTTATCACAATTAAAACTATTTTTCTGTACGTGCATGTATAAATGTCAATTTGTTATGACATTGAAAAGGCTTTTCAAACAAAAAACATTATTATGATTCAGCATATTTTTTTTTCTTTACAATCGTTTGTAAAAGCTTTAATATTTGGTCTGGGGCACAAATGATGTTTTTATACAAATTTATTATTGCTCGTTAAAAATAGGGTTGAAGAACGTACAGAAGTTTTTCAAATCGTTCGTCAACGATTTGTGAAAATTGTTCAAAAATAACTTTACAGGTAGCCGTTCGTTTTTTTAGCTAAGAAATGAACGTACTGTTCGTAACTTGTTCATTCTGCTTCTCAAAGATTCAATTCGTTAACAATCTCAATTGAAGATATTGTAGAAGTCGTTATTTTGAAACACAATCGTTTGTTCTTTTTATAAACCATTAATTTCTTTTCCAGAACAGCTTTTTCCGTTTATTAACGATTTCAAAACGGGTTTTGCCGTTCGTTAACGTACTCGATTCCGTTTATTTCAAAAAATGTTCAGTTCGTTAACGAAACGTTGTCTAACCCTACTTAAAAAGAACACTTGCTTCTCTCAAATGTCTTAAGAATCAAAGAGTTTGATTTGAATATTTATTCTTAATTTTAACATTATAATTGTTTTATTTTTATTTTTTTCCGTAACCAACTTTTTTAGCAAATATCTTCTGAATTGCAACTTCAAATAAAAACACTGAACAGAAATGTTTAAAAACCTAATCAAGGAACTGAACACTTGCCTCAAGCTTTAAAGGGACTGTAAGCATAACTTCAATACTGTGTACATCCAGGCGAAGATGGCAACGGTTTACAACGACACCTTCAACCCTTAATCTGATAAAAAATGTAAAAGATTTCATTTTTATGAATCGAAAAGTGTTTAATTTTAATAAGTTCTCCATTTTTTTCTTATAAGCTTAATAAATGTGCAAGTCGCTTTCGCATGTAGAAATATCTGAATGATTTGTTTGGAATTAAATTGATTTTTCTACGTTTCGAGGCGAATATTGCAATTTTCTGAATATTTCGCGAACACTCCTTTAGAGTTTGAGGCAAGTGTTCAGTTCCTTTATTTTTAATGATCTTGAAATAAAATTAAATATCAAAATTGTTTAATATTTGCAAAAAGTTTCAAAATCAAAAAATCAAAACACAATATATATATATTATGTATTATTTTCATATTTTCAAATTATATTGAAGTCAAGATTTGAATTGATATTTACTTTAAAACTATAATTCAATTCAAATATTTGAAAAAAATTATATTTTTCCTCACAAATTCCCTTTAGCATATTTGCAGCTATCAAATTACATGTACAGTGCGAACCAGAAAACTGTGGAATAGGAAGAAAAATAATTTTGTGTTTTTGATGTTACAAAGCAAATAGTTTTACAAGTTGCTTAAAAAAACTAATTGCGCTACTTGAATGGACCTGTCCACACCGAACAATTGGTATGGTTCATGTTTACTTGGTCTATCTAAATCATTAGTTTTACTACAGTTTTTTTTCTTAAATCACTTTTCAAGTTAATTGGGTCTGTTCACACTGCACAATTGCTGTGTCCCATGTTTATTAAACTATTTAAAGTCATTATTTCTGCGGTCTTTTCTTGGCTATAGTTTTCTGGTTCTGACTGAACAATATTTTTTGAATAAAAACATTTCTTCCTGCGCTAGAAAAGATGATCCCTGTACCGAGGATAAGAAAGGACAGAAGAAGATGTTCAGGGCCAAGTTTTTCCTAAAACAAATTGTGATTAAACTTGTTTGTTCAATTTTTGCACCTTTTTACTTTATCGCCCTGTAATAAACATTTATGTATGAACGTTGTGTTCTTTAAATTTCTGCCATTGTATTAAGGGATTTCTTTGATTGATTGATTGACTAACACTTTAATATTTTGTCAGTTTTGACTCGACAAGATGCCCTTATGTAAAATAGTTTTTAAAAAGAAATGGATATTGCAGCATGGTACCATCTAGCACCAAATATTCAACTCTAGACTGCGTTGTCCCGGCAGAAGAACAAGAACGAGTTCGAGTTAGTTCAACTATCTACGAATGATTCAACAAATCTTCTTGTGTCGCCCAGAAGAATTTAAACATGAACCGAATTTAATGAATTTGCGGGGTCGTTGAACTTAACCTACCCCGCGCGGTTCAAACTTGAACAAAAGATTCAAATTCTTTCTAAATCTTAAACTGTGGTTCTTTGAATTGGCAGTAGCGACGAAGATCAAATTCATAAAAAATTGTTCCCTGGAGAGATGAATTTAAGTTGATATCGACAGCACCGGCGAAATAGTTGATCTTGTAGTAAGTCATAACTAGATAAACTACTTTCTGCTATTTGAATATACACTCAACCCAGGTTAGATCAGTTAGATTTGATAATTTCTGTAAAACATTAATTAAACATTACTTTAGTTTTCTCAAAATATACCTCGTTTGAATTTCCAATATTATTAAAAACTTTCTGCCGTCCATGTTTATTTTCAAAGCCAACCTGAAACATTTGGCTCAGGTAAAATATATAATATAATATATATCAATTAAAAGGCTGCAGGGCTATTACTTTTAAGACAACAGTAAACTTGATTGTATGAAATGAATTGAAAACATGGAAATTAAATGACGACTTCTATATCGTTTTTGTTCCCTGCGGGATTATTTTGTCAACATCATTTTGTAGTTCCACAGTTGAAACATTTAACACCGAAAACTAATAGTCTCGGGATTTACAAAATGTGGTCTACCATTTTTCACCCTCAAAACTGAAAGGAAATTTGCCCAGATTTCAGGTCATTGAAAATTAACAGAACTGTTCAAATCATAAATTAATAACAATACAGATAGAACACTAGATGTGTAACAAATCTAGATGCTAATACTCTAACGATTACTTTACTCAAAGTCTAATGAGATCATATTTAACTAAATCTCTAGCCAAATCTTAAGGCTCTCTATCTCTAGCCAAAACATAATTTTGTAGTTCCACAGTTGAAACATTTAACACCGAAAAATAATAGTCTAGGGATTTCAAAATGTGGTCTGCCATTTTTTACCTTCAAAACTGAAAGGAAACTTGCCCAGATTTCAGGTCATTGAAAATTAACAGAACTATTCAAATCATAAATTAATAACAATACAGATAGAACACTAGATGTCCTCTTTTCAAGATTTAGGGGTTTTTCGTGCACAATAACCCTGAAGCAGAAGCCCAAAGAAGTTACGCGTATGCTCTCTCTCTCTCTCTGCTCTGTCATTTAACGCAACATGCGCGTAACTCCTTTGGGCTTCTGTCATAGGATTATTGCTAATGAAAAACCCCTTAATCTTGAAAATCCCACATATAGTGTTCTATCTATATTGTTTTTAATCTATGGTTCAAATGTTTGATATCTTTTTTATCAATTTTAAAGATACAAAGAAGGTTGACGACATTTTGGCAAGCTCATTAGACTTTCAATCTCTTTTTGATGCACTTTATATCATTTATCAATTATCGAAAGTCTATCAATTCGGCTCTCAATTCCCATGTTTATTGGGACACCCTGTAATTGGTTTATGATTAATGATTTTAAGATCAGGTTAACGAATGAATTTCACAATTTATTCAGAAAAAGAAATGTCGTCCTCAACCATGAAGGGAACACAATGTATGTACCTGGGAGCAGACGAGAATATGATGATTGATGTCGTCTTTCCATTTTGATCCTTTCTCAACCATCCAGGCTCCGTAGTATGGAGATATCTTTTCCTAAAGAAGAATAAGAATATTTTTTATGATTCATTTTTAAGATTATTTCCCGGGACAAAATTCAAGTACAGTGGTCAGCGTTTATATTGAAGCGATGAAGACGTCTTATCTATTTAAGTTTTCATTTCTAAATGCTTTTTTTCAGGTCACTAGTTTACAAGTTAACAAGGAGAAGATGTTAATTGACAGCTTCTCTTTGTTTCCATATTTTTGTGTATCCATGCTGTTTGAAAGCTTGGTAGAAATAAAAAATAATATAAAAAAGTCGTCTTCAATAGAAAAATTCCAAGATTTGATCGTTACTACCCGATCATGTTCTGGGGAAAACAATTTTTTTTAATTGTTCAAAGGTACTGTTGTCAACTTTGTGTGGCCGGAGGATCGCTTGTAATTATGCTGACAGTCCCTTTAAAGTTCCCATATATAAGCTCTTGAATACCTGACTAATATGAAACAAGGGTTGGGGAAGGGTTTCAAGTCCAGGATTCTGCTCTTCAAAATAGTTAACAACACTCTGAAATAGTTAACAACACTCTGATATAGTTAACAACACTCTGAAATAGTTAACAACACTCTAAAATAGTGTAAAACACTCTGAAATAGTTAACAACACTCTGAACTAGTTAACAACACTCTGAAATAGTTTACAACACTCTGAAATAGTTAACAATACTCTGAAATAGTAAACAACACTCTGAAATAGTGTAAAACACTCTGAAATTGTTAACAATACTCTGAAATAGTTAAACACACTCTGAAATAGTTAACAACACTCTGATATAGTTAACAACACTCTGAAATAGTTAACAACACTCTGAAATAGTGTAAAACGCTCTGAACTAGTTAACAACACTCTGAAATAGTTTACAACACTCTGAAATAGTTAACAACACTCTGAAATTGTTAACAATACTCTGAAATAGNAAAACTTAAGGGGGGGGGTCAAATTGACCCCCCCCCAGCAGGAATAGGGTTAACAACACTCTGAAATAGTGTAAAACACTCTGAAATAGTTAACGATACCCTGAAATAGTTAACAATACTCTGAAATAGTTAACAACACTCTAAAATAGTTAACAACACTCTGAAATAGTTAACAATACTCTGAAATAGTTAAAGACATTCTGAAATAGTTAATAATACTCTGAAATAGGTAACAACACTCTGAAATAGTTAACAACACTCTGAAATAGTTAAAAACACTCTGAAATAGTTAACAATACTCTGAAATAGTTAACAACACTCTGAAATAGTTAACAATACTCGGAAATGGTTAACAATATTCTGAAATAATCAACAACACTCTAAAATAGTAAACAATACTCTGAATGTTAAGACGCCTTTAATAGAGTGTAAATATGTTTCCATCGTATGAATGTACAGACTACAGAGTGTTCCAATAAACATGGGAATTCAGTAACGAATTCGAGATTGCCTATGGTAAGAATAAGCATTCTGATTTCAAATGTCTGGTAGAGATTATTTTATGAAAACTTTAACTGGTTGTAAATATGTTTCTGTAATGTCTCTACAAGATAAACAGTAAAGACGGACAAGTTTACTATGTTTTTATACTGTATTTTTTTGTTTTACTAAGTACAACCGTATGCAGTCAAAACATAAACAAACAAATTGTAAACAAAGCAGACGAAAACCTTACAGAATACAGCTTTCTGAGTAGGTATTACCAAACTAAAATCCAAAAATTATTTAATCGTCACTGAATTCCCATGTTTATTGAGACACTCTGTATCTTTAAAAAGTATAATATTTATGTTTTTCAACTTAAAAAAATAACTGTATGAAAATTGACTGAAATATCGACTTACCTCTGTCATTAAGAGAACTTCGTTAGAGTTATTGAGGATTCCCATTAGAACTTTCCCAACAGGTTCAATCTCAAATATCAAGCAAATAAGAATCATTTTTTAAGTTTTAGAAATGATAAAATACTTTTAAAAAAATATATTTTGATTTGTTCATTAAACTTTCAATCTAAATACGTTTACCTTTGTATTATAGAATCTAGATACTTTTACCTTTAGATTATAGAATCTAGATACTTTTACCTATGAATTACAGAATCTTAATACTTGTACCTTTGGATTATAGAATCTAAATACTGTTACCTTTGAATTAAGAATATAGATACTTTTACCATTTGGATTATTGAATTTAAATACTGTTACCTTTGAATTATAGAATATAGATACTTTTACCTCTGGATTATAGAATCTAAATACTTGTACCTTTGGTTTATAGAATCTAAATACTGTTACCTTTGAATTACAGAATATAGATACTTTTACCTTTGGATTATAGAATCTAAATACTTTTACCCTTGGATTATAGAATCTAAATACTTGTACCTTTGGATTATAGAATCTAAATACGCGTACCTTTGGATTATAGAACCTAAACACATTACCTTTGGATTATAGAATCTAAATAACTTTACCTTTGGATTATAGAATCTAAATACTTTTACCTAAGGATTCCCATTAGAACTTTCCCAACAGGTTCAATCTCAAATATCAAGCAAATAAGAATCATTTTTTAAGTTTTAGAAATGATAAAATACTTTTTTAAAAATATATTTTGCTTTGTTCATTAAACTTTCAATCTAAATACGTTTACCTTTGGATTATAGAATCTAAATACTTTTACCTTTGAATTATAGAATCTAGATACTTTTACCTTTGGATTATAGAATCTAAATACTTTTATCTTTGGATTATAGAATCTAAATACTTTTACCTTTGGATTATAAAATCTAAATACTGTTACCTTTGAATTATAGAATCTAAACACTTTTACCTTTGGATTATAGAACCATAAACACATTACCTTTGGATTATAGAATCAAAATACTTTTACCTTTGGATTAAAGAATCTAAATACTGTTACCTTTGGGTTATAGAATATAAATACTTTTACCTTTGGACTATAGAATCTTAATACTTTTACCTTTGGATTATAGAATCTAAATACTTTTACCCTTGGATTATAGAATCTAAATACTTTTATCTTTGGATTATAGAATCTAAATACTTTTTCCTTTGGATTATAGAATCTAAATACTGTTACCTTTGGATTATAGAATCTAAACACTTTTACCTTTAAATTGTAGAATCTACATACTTTTACCTTTGAATTATAGAATCTAAATACTTTTACCTTTGGATTATAGAATCTAAATACTTTTACCTTTGAATTACAGAATATAGATACTTTGACCTTTGGATTATAGAATCTTAATACTGTTACCTTTAGATTATAGAATCTTAATACTTTTACCTCTGAATTATAGAATCTTAATACTTGTACCTTTGGATTATAGAATCTAAATACTGTCACCTTTGAATTACAGAATATAGATACTTTTACCTTTGGATTATAGAATCTAAACACTTTTACCTTTGAATTATAGAATCTAGATAATTTTACCTTTGAATTATAGAATCTAGATACTTTTACCTTTGGATTATAGAATCTAAATATGTGTACCTTTGGATTATAGAATCTAAATACGTGTACCTTTGGATTATAGAATCTAAATACGTGTACCTTTGGATTATAGAACCTAAACACATTACCTTTGGATTATAGAATCTAAATAACTTTACCTTTGGATTATAGAATCTAAATACTTTTACCTTTGGATTATAGAATCTNTTACAACATCTTGCATTGTTTAAAACTTGAGAATGAGCGAATACAGGAGATGAGCTGAGTAGAGCAGCGTGTCGAGATGCTTCAAGGAGAACCGCAACCTTAAAGGGAGTGTACAAATTCACAGAAATGAATTATTCAACTTGGATCGTAAATAATTCAATCAAATTTAAAATTAACCATTCAGATATTATAACCAATAAGCGTAAAATGCAATTCGATACATTCGTAATAGTTGATATTACATAATATTTTTTATTTGATTGATATACAATACACATAAAACGACGATTTGTTGTCTAGGTTTCTCTCCTATAAACGGAACAACAGAAACATCAAGAGCAGAGACAACTGGCGGCCAACTAATTGTCATTTAAATTGCATCATCTATAAAACAGATAAAAAATATTATAACATATCAACTATTTACAAATGCATCAGATTGCATTCGACACTCTAAATATATCAGTTTACCCTGTTTTCTCTAAGAATTTGTGCTGCTGAGTCAACTGGAAATTTTTCTGTAGGTTTCAATATAATCGCTCTGAAATTTAACATTTAGTTATTTCTGTCAAACTCATAATAAACCAGACAACGGAAGAATTTTTAAAATGTCGTTATGTAAAGTTTTTTCTTGTGAATAATGCCACTAAAAAAAAAAAAATTATTACAAAAGCTGTGTCTTGTATTTTTCCAAACTGTTGAAGGTTTCTGATTTGTTTTGAAATTGAGTATTTGTTTTTTTAAACACAGAATATCCACAGCAGATCGATCATTAATAAGCTTAGAAACGACATTATATAAATTTTTTTATTCTTCCATCTCAGATTTTAAAACTTTTTGAGAAAAAAAAACTTTCCTTTCATAGATCTAGGAGTCCCCCCTCACACCCTACCATTTGGTTGCGCCTTTGGTTAGATACCTTAGGTTGCAGGAGAAAGCAAAGGAAAGAACCGTTGAACAGAGGGCCCAGGTTAATATTAAAATACTCCCAGATACAACTGCAAAAGAAAAAGAAATCCATATTTTTTATCGGAATTTTGAACTACAAAAAAGAAATTAGAAGTTACGGCCATTTTGTTTGAAATTATGATTAAAATTACTAGAATATCCTAAAAGAAAATACACTCATTAAATTTTTTTGTAATTTAAAAAAAATTGATTCAAGTAAGTAAATTAGTGTAAATTCTCCTTTTTTGCGTACTTTGTTAAAGCCAGACCAAACATATTGTAAACCTGTATGGCTGCAGGGCGCAGACATGTTCCAACTTTTTCAAGCTGTTTCGTGAATTGTTAGTTCCAACCATTTTAAAATAAAATCTCAGGTAGCCGTTAATTTTAGAGGGTAAGAACAAAACTTCGTTTCGTTAGCGGTATTTTCCAGTTTTTTTAAACATTACTGTTAGTTAATGATCTCAATTTTTTTAACGGCATTAACAGAAAATTTTCAACAACAGTTAACCACTCCAGCTCCGTTAATGGTACCATTATTACAAAATTAACGGCAAAAAGTTCCAAACAAAATGTTAATGGTTGATGTAATCTTTAACGGCACAGCTGTTAAGAGTCTATATTAGTATTAATGCAAAGTGTCCAAAAAAGAATTCATTAATGGTTTAGGAAATTGGTAATGGTTAATGGTATGTACAAACATGTCCTGAAAATATCAACACTTTAACACTGCGCAAAATAAATGCATTATTCAATTTGCTCAGCAGTTGAAAAAAAGAAAAACCTGTAAATAACATGGTCAAGTGCAAGTACAATGCAGATCTTGTATCTAGAGATAAACACATGGATGAACCAACACCATCAGGTAATGATACTATAACTCAAGAAGAGAGGTACCCCCTGCCATGGTCAATGGTAAATAATCATTCAGAATAGATACCCCCCTCATTTAAGGTAAAATCTGCATAGTTGTGGAAGGATTGTTCTTTCCCGAGATGGCAATGGGGAAGGAAACGTTCTTTGACTAAGAACGGAACGAGAGGGATGAAACCGTTCTTTAAATAAGAACGCCAACAACAGAACGGGAAGACCGTTCTTCTACTCAGAACGGAATGGAACGGAACAGAACGAGAACAGAACGATAAAAAGGAACAAGAACAGAACGATTTAGCTGAAGGCCCTTGTTCTAGAACGGAACAGAACGATTTCAAAAAAGTTGGAACGTGCCCAGCCCTAATTTAGCAATGGCCAATGGTACAGAGGGTAGAAGACCCCTTCAAATTATAAGGTTGTAAAGTACTCAAATAATATAATTTGGAAAATGCGCAATTGGACGATGGTGCACTTAATATGGTAAGAAATTGGTTTAAGGACAAAACAGGTAAAGTTAATGACAGAAACATTGATGTATAACTGTTTGTTTTGTAACAACATCAAATTCACTTTAATATTGCTGATGGCGTCTTCCTATTCCTTAGTTTTCTGGTTCTCACGGTTCCATAAAGAAAATATTCGTCCAGCATACGGAGTACATCATTACGATAGAAAAAGAAATATTTACAATAATTCAAGGGCAATTTATGGCAATGTCCTACTCTGAAAGGCTCATGTGCAACCGTCATTGACTGGGCATGGAATGTGTAGGAGCTTTGAAAATGTAGGCCTGGGATCTGCCGAAGACATCTTGTATTTTTTTGCAAAGTTAGAGAAGTAGCAGGAATATTTAGCCCTCAATTCTTTGCAGCAGACACTACACAACTCTTTTATAAACTGAAAAATTCTCAGAACCTCCCCCTGGTCTGCCATAAGGTATATTTAACTAATGTTCAGGATATACTGATCCTAGTCCTGAGGAAAGATGAAAACAAAGAAGTAAATTTGCTCCCTATCTGCGCAAACACCGCAGAACTCTGATCCCTCGCCTCATATCTGAGATACAAGCTAGATATTGTGGGTGATGATGCTCTGCCTTAGGAGCTCAGATGGGGTGTAAATCAAGTATCAGAGAACCTGCTGATGTATCTCCACACCACCTAGGTGAAGGTGTGTTTGTATTTAAAAAAGATGAAGTGGCATATATCAGTTAAAATGTACTCAAGTTACAGTGAAGTTGCTGAAGGCAGGAACATGCTACTTAGGCATCCCTATACATTCATTCAAGCAATACCATTTCATGTCTACAACAAACAGGATGCATCTGATTTCAACTTCAAAGCATCCGTGCACCCCAACCTTCGCCAGGGCAATTTAAGGGATGAAAGACAGGATCAGGATTGGACCGGCATTAAGGACAATTCCTCTGCCGCTTGTAGAACCTAAACTGTCTCTGAATCTCAGTCATTCAGATGATGAACTCGGACTCCACACCTTTGCAGCAGGATTTTGATCACATCACATAGCCGGTGCCAGACTGCCTGGCTATACTGATCAAGTGACTTCCTCTATTATACACAATGTTTGCAAAACAGATGAAACCTGCAATTTGAACCCACTACCTGGAACTCTCTCTTACTCTTTGACAAAATTAGAAGACAAATTTTTAGATTTCTTGCACCTCGGTGGCTTTTAATACTTTGTGAAATAAGTATGTAAACCAGTACTGCAAGTAATACACTGGTTGTCCACCAGGAGGTTCATCATGGCATGTTTAAGAAGACCCTGGTAGCTTGCTGTAGGTTCCTGATTCCGGCTGAAGGCGTGATCCTGTCAGAGGTGCTGTTAAAGCTGATGGGAGACTCCAGGGCAGATGCTGAAGCCTCCACCATGATGAGAAAAGGAACTCCAGAAGTACGATATAGAAAAGGGAGGTCTGGTACAGATAAAAATTGTGAGATCCCTGTTAACGTACTGATGCAACATGTATGATTGGTACAAAGATTAGGTGGGGGATGTAAACCAGCATGGTTTCGCATCCATGATTCTGTACAGTGGGACAGCAGCTGGTCCAAGTAGGAGCGGAGACGTGATAATGGTTCGTGGGACACAAAGAATAATTGATCGGCTATGTTTAAAACCCTGATAGGGTTAGCATTGATGAAGAGGTTGAATGACTTGGTCATGGAAGAATACTTCAGCCAATCTATACGTAGAAATTCCTGAAGAAATCACCTATCCTTTTGAAACAATTAGTATCGTTTGTTATTTCTAATTTGTAAACATAATTTGTGTACATAATCGCGTTATTATTCAATTCAGTTTAGGCTATTAAGCTTCAATATACTGAAATTAAAATAAAACTAAAAAGTATTGCTCACACTTTTTATTTATTAAAATTTAGAATGAAATATGTATGTTTTTGAAAAAACAGTTTGTAAATAATTATACTTTTCTAAAAGAATTTATGTTTTAAAGAGTTTCAGATAAATACAAAATATGCTTTTCGAAATTAACTTGTAAATTCAGTGCATACACGTGAAAAGTGTTAAAAATGTTAATTTCTTTAACCCTGACCTCTTTTTGATTTGACCTCAAACCAGTCAGGCATCTGTTCTGCATTGAGCATACTTATAGGCATTAACATTACCAGAATACCGTCAGTCTAGAAACAAATATTTTTATTTTAAAATTCGGTGATGGTGATGGATACAGTAAAACAAGAAAATGTTAGTTCCCAGGTCTATATTATTTATAAGAGTCATAGTTGTTCCCACCGTTTAGCAGCGCTATTATTAAATCATGATTTTAGCTGAAGCGCTTGATTTAAAAATTTAAAAAATTAATTTTCAGAAAATGTTCTGGCAATGTCACCCCCGTCGTACCAATAGGCTTCCTTGAAAAAAAAACAGGCAATTTAATCCAGCCGTTTGGCCAGCTATTAGCGAGCATATGTATATAAAAATATATTATATACAGGGTTACCCTAATTAATTACCCATAAAGGATAAGACTTCAGAGACGACTGTACGAAATGTATACCGTCTGTTTCCTTACATTAACAATTCCCTGCAACTCTACACTTTTTTGTTTCTTTGCCAAATCATTAAATAAGCCATTAGGTTACTTTATCAAAGGCGGAATACATATTTTAACCCAGACTGTCATACTTCAAGAGTTTCTGGTCGTCTTTACAGTCTCATATTTTGTGGGTAACCCTGTACATATATCTATATTAGCAAAGAGCTTTATTATATAGATACATGACAATAACTGATTTTGTTCATACTTTTCTAATCCTTATATTTTTGCATCCTGATATCGTAAACTTGTTTTGCTGCCAAATCAATAATATATAGTTTAGATTACACCATCAGGTTGAAAAAATAAGCAATTTAAGGAAATGAGTCTTAGCCATCTCTCTTTTCTAATTCCTATATCTTTGCGACCAAATTCCGTTGACTTAAGATAAGATAAGATACTATGAATTTTGTCACATCAAGCATGGTCTAATATCAGCTTGAAAAGATATTGGGATTAGAATATTTGAGTCTTAGACGCAATTCCTTTCCAATGCAATAATGACCTTTTCCCAAAATTTTTAATTTCCTAAAAAACTCTTTTCAAAATTTCCAAGCTAGGAAAAAGTATTTCAGCTCCTAAAAGAGTAATTTTGGTATGAAAAAAAAACAGATAAATCTACTTTCTTCAGTTCCACATCAAAATTGTGTTAAGGTTGTTCAAAAAACATGGGAATTAAGACTGACTGGAATAAAAACATACGGTATTAAAGTCGATTTAGAAGTCCTCACTTGATTCCCTTGTTTATTTAACCATTCAGGGACCGAATATAATGAAATAGAGAGGTCGCTGAACTACCTAACGCCGGTTCCAATCCTGAATCACGGGTTCAAATCCTCATGAATCTTTAACTTTGAATCTGCAATCCAAATTTAAACTGACATTAGGTAGTTCAATTACTTGACTCAGATTTTTAAAGTTTGGTTCCATGTTACCTTTTGAATGCCCATATGCCTTTTTGAAACATGAACTATTACCAGCAGAACCAACCCAACAGTTAATGTACTAAAAAAGGTCAAAAATGAGTTTAGGGTGTAGAGTTAAATATGAAAATATAAAATGGTTTACCTTATCCATATTGCTAGCCAACTGTAGCCGTCAAAAACCTAAAAATTATTTTTCTTAAAGGGACTGTAAGCAAAGTTTTAACTGATCCTGCCTGCAAAAATAGCAAAGCCCTACTTACAGCATGAAATGCGAAAGTCACTTTTGCAGCGAAACTATACAAATGAAAAAAAAACAGTTTAAATTAACAAAAACATGGAAATCTAATTTATACTTGATCCGACAAGGGAACTGTTGTAAATCGGGCATTGCCATTTTTGCAAAGAGGATCACTTGAAATTACATTTCCAGTCCCTTTAGCCCTGTAAGGGATGTAACTCTTATTAGGAAATACACTGTAATTATATTTTCTGCCATACTTTAAAGAGAGAAATCAGAAAAGTTTTATTGACAACTTTTAAAAAATATGAAAATTGCGCAAAACTTTATAAAGAAATGTTACGACTAATGGAGCCAATATAAAAAAAAGTAAAAATGCTATTTAATCAGCGAAACAAATGAATAAAATATTTATATTTAAAATTTTTTGTTGAGTTCTGCTTTTATAATATAGGTATTTACAGTGTATATGTATTTTAATAAAACAAATCAAATCAAATTAAATTAGTTGAAAAATAAATCATGTAAAATATTCCTTGATGATATTGTAGAAAGGAGAATCTCTGCCCTTGTTCTAAAAAAAAATTGAAAGCATGTAATTTTTAAAAATACATATTTTGAGACAATTTTCAACAAAAAAATTATACCTTAGAAATCCATTCTAACCCTCCAAACCCGACAGGCATTGTAAAGGATATAATAGAATTTCTAAGAAAAAAAATTAAAGATTTGATTATTGAAACTTTTTCTATTGAAACTAATCTCACTGAAACTTTTCCAAATACCTTGAAACTTTTATTATTATTACATTTTTTATTTTGAAACCTCTTCCATGTTCATATTATTTTTGTTCTGAAAACCTTTAGTAACTTTTATGTGAAATTTTTTCTAGGGAAACTTTTTTTTCAAAATTTCTTTTCAAAATTTTTCTTTTCAAAAAGGTTATATTATATTTTAAAACTTTCTTGATTACAAAAAATTTTATCAAAACTTTACGAAAAGAAGAAAATTTTAAAATTTCTCATTTAAGCTTGTCTTTTTAAGACATTCTTTTTGGAACTATTCTTATTAAGGATTACACACAGTATTTCCACAGACCAAACACCGAACTTCCTCTTCAGTATTTATGATTATGAAAAAACAGGTTAACTTCAATGTGGAATGATTTATTTCTCTAAAATGAAGTTTAGTGAATGGTTAGATATAACACAATATACTGCATGAATTATGCAGTGCTATTTTTCTAAAATAAAGGAAAAGGTAGAGTAGTGCAGCATGTGTGCGTACAGTTCACGATATAATGTTAAAGGGTTAGACCGGCTATGTAAGGTAGTTGAACTGAGTATGCAGTGTTATAAATCGTTATAAATCGGTCATGTCTCTCTATAAATGGAAGTTTACTTTACATTAATGCTTACAGTTCCTTTTACTCAGAAATAGTTCGGTTTTGTAAAGTGTAAATACAGTGCATATACCGTTCTGCGCTGAATCCAACATATCCAATTCCGAGATCTGCTCCACCATACGCAATCTGAAATTTACAATTCATTTTTAAAATTTATAATTCATTTTTAAAATTTATAATTCATTTTTCAAATTTATAATTCATTTTTCAAATTTATAATTCATTGTACCAATTTATATTTCATTTACCAATTTATAATTAATTTACCAATTTATAATTCATTGTACCAATTTATATTTCATTTACCAATTTATAATTGTTATACCAATTTATAATTCATTACAGCAATTTATAATTAATTTTAACAATTCATAATTCATTATAGCAATTTATAATTAATTTTACCAATTTATAATTTATTTTATTATAATTTATTTTACCAATTTATATTTCATTTACCAATTTAAAATCATTTTTCAAATTTATAATTAATTTTTAAAATTTATAATTCATTTTTCAAATTTATTATTCATTGTACCAATTTATATTTCATTTACCAGTTTATAATTCATTATACCAATTTATGATTAATTTTACCAATTTATAATTCATTATAGCAATTTATAATTAATTTTACCAATTTATAATTCATTACAGCAATTTATAATTAATTTTAACAATTCATAATTCATTATAGCAATTTATAATTAATTTTACCAATTTATAATTTATTTTACCAATTTAATATTCATTGTACCAATTTAAATTTCATTTACCAATTTATAATTGTTATACCAATTTATAATTTATTTTACCAATTTATAATTCATTTTTCAAATTTATAATTCATTTTTCAAATTATATTTAATTTTTCAAATTTATTATTCATTTTTCAAATTTATAATTCGTTGTACCAATTTTAAAATCATTTACCAATTTATAATTCATCTTTCAAACTTATATTTACCAATTTATGATTCATTGTACCAATTTATATTTCATCTACAAATTTATAATTTATTTTACCAATTCATAATGTATTTTACCAGTTTATAATTCATTATAGCAATTTATAATTAATTTTACAAATTTATAATTAATTTTACCAATTTATAATTTATTTTACCAATTATAATTTGCACCCACCCGACCAAATTAGACTGTTTTGATATTTTGCCCGATATCAGTCAATAATTGGATGAACACCAAGAATTTTTAGATTCTTTACATTCGCAAATAATCAATGCCACCCTTTTGCAATTTAAATATCAATGCCACCCTGTTGAGTCCGAACGCTAATATCTGTTGAATCCAAACTCTAATTCTTGAATTAGTGCGGATATAGAACTATCGTTCACGTTCTTCTCGAATGGTCTTTCTTCGGTCAACACAGAGCTTGTTCGTACTTAGTTAATAAAATATCTCGCCTCTCGAATATTCGTGAAAAGTTAAATCGCTTAAAATCGAAGTCTTATAGCTCTGGACAGCTTTATTCCTTTATGTAAGTACTCAATAAAGTTGAATTTGTTTTCTATCTAGATCTTTTCCTTCCGTTTTAGTTTGGCGAATTCGTCTTTCTCTTTTTCTTTCTAGTTAGAAAATAAATCCAACCTAAAACCGAATCTGCATGTTCATTTTTCGTAAATCTAGTTCGCAGTTTGTGTTTCTTTCTCTTTGTGACTAATATTGTTTGAAATTCGCGTATATGTTTATTTGCAATCAAAGAATATTAATTTTTTGCGAAGTAAAAGTCAGCTAAAAACGTAGCAAAAAATTAATATTTGATGTTTTAGAGGTTCAGTTCAGGTAATTTAAGTGAGACATTGAGAGGAGTTGTTTGGAGAATGTCAGGTTATAATGTATTGGAGGTAACTGTACATATTTGCCAGCTTCAACTAACAAGGTAACTGTACATATTCACCAGCTTCAACTAACAGGGACTGTAATTATAATGTATTGGAGGTATTTGTACATATTCACCACCTTCAACTAACAGGGACTGTAAGTATAATGTATTGGAGGTAACTGTACATATTCACCTGCTTCAACTAACAGGGACTTTAAGTATAATGTATTGGAGGTAACTGTACATATTTACCAGCTTCAACTAACAGGGACTGTAAGTATAATGTATTGAAGGTAACTGTACATATTCACCACCTTCAACTAACAGGGACTGTACGTATAATGTATTGAAGGTAATTGTACATATTCACCAGCTTCAACTAACAGGGACTGTAAGTATAATGTATTGAAGGTAATTGTACATATTCGCCAGCTTCAACTAACTGTATGTTGAATTTTACGTGAGTCTTTGAACGTAAAGATAGCTTTGCTCGATTCACAATGGTACCCTTGGGCATTAAACCCCGTCTCTACTCAATAAGCGGATGAATATATATCATTTTTTAGGTTTAAAAATTCTTTAATTCTGATAATTGATCCTTTTTGTTTTACCGTTGTAAGTCGAGCATTACCACCTTTGCGTGGAGGGTTGAACTTACGCTTATTCAATCCCTTTATAAATTCAAAATTTCTGAAACAAATGAACTCAATTTTGTGAAAACTTTAAATCGGGAATCTGGTTGAGGTAATAAATGTAAAATATGGGAAAACAATATATATATACAATAAAGCTCTTCGCTCATGTATATATATATATGTTAGCTATAGCTGGGTAAAGCTGGCACGAGACCAAATTGGCTAAAATTTTTTAAGGGAACCCATTGGTAAAGGCCAGCGAAAATCTATTTTTTTCATAGAAATATTTTTTCAAAATTCAATTTAAAATAAAAATTTAAATTTCACGGGCAACGGCGAATACTTCAACTATAAAATTTCATGAAATGAAACAAAATGGAGAAAAGGGAAAACCAAACTTACTTTTCCAACCTGCCCTGTCCATATCCCAGTCTTAGAATCAAAATTTCCCCATTTACTTTCCATATCTATGTACTGGGTGTTCAGATTTCTTTTTCCTGAGGGAAATGAACAATTAGAAGTTTAGAAAGATGAGAATAAATAAGTTTAAATTAGAAGTTTAGAACGATAAGAATAAACAAGTTTAAATTAGAAGTTTAGAAAGATGAGAATAAGCAAGTTTAGATTATAAGTTACGAACGATAAGAATAAATAAGTTGAAATTAGAAGTTTAGAACAATGAGAATAAATAAGTTTGAATTAGAAGTTTAGAACGGTGAGAATATATAATTTTAAATTAGAAGTTTAGAAAGATGAGAATAAATAAGTGTAAATTAGAAGTTTAGAAAGATGAGAATAAATAAGTTTAAATTAGAAGTTTAGAAAGATGACAATAAATAAGTTTAAATTAGAAGTTTAGAACGATAAGAATAAATAAGTTGAAATTAGAAGTTTAGAAAGATGAGAATANTTTTTTTCCGGAATTTGCATTCTCAAGGAGATTCTCTTTCCGGAGATTTTTTTTTCCGGAGTTTGTATTCTCAAGGAGATTCACTTTTTTCCAGAATTTGCATTCTCAAGGAGATTCACTTTTTTCCGGAGATTTTTTTTCCGGAGTTTGTATTCTCAAGGAGATTCACTTTTTTTCCGGAGATTTTTTTTCCGGAGTTTGCATTCTAGTGTTTATCCTGGCACCGCTTTTTAAACACCTGTGTGTAGGGGTGAGCTTAGTTTTGAGATCCGTGTTTATGTTTTCAACATTATTTTGCTTTAAAGATGCTCTTAAAAAATCCGATTAAAACTGTGGTGCAATTAAACTCATCGACCATACAATTGTGAAATAGATTTTTACAACTCTGATTTTTGTGGTGCATCTTACAGATCAAATAACCTTGAATATTCAAAAATTGACCTCAAAACTATGCCACTAATGCACCTGTGTAACTTCCTAGAAATAATCCCTCAAAAGTACTCATGTCAGATTTTCCATTGGTTAAACCAAAAGCCGGTCTCACCTCATTAAACGCAATTCTAAATTTTAAATGATATTATTATTCATCTTTTAACGAAGGTTAAAGATTGAGGGGCGCCTTTTTAAGTTTTCACTTACTTTGTTTTGGCATCTTTGATTGATTATATAAGTCACTAACTTTTGAGCAAGATTATATTGTTTACCATTAAGTTATCATTCTCAATAGCTTCAGAAAAGGTTCTGTCCGGCCGTTCGGAACCTACCTAAACAGAGCCTACCTTTACGGAACCTACCTTTACAGAACCTACCTTTACGGAACTTACCTTTACAGAACCTACCTTCACGGAACCTACCTTTTACGAAACCTACCTTAACGGAACCTACCTTGACGGAACCTACCTTGACGGAACCTACCTTGACGGAACCTACCTTGACGGAACCTACCTTGACGGAACCTACCTTTACGGAACCTACCTTTACGGAACCTACCTTTACAGAACCTCTTTACGGAACCTACCTTGACGGAACCAAATAATGTAAAGTGTTCTGCAGTGGTTGGGAGGAATGCAAAGTGTACTGCAGTGGTTGGGAGGAATGTAAAGTGTACTGCAGTGGTTGGGAGGAATGTAAAGTGTACTGCAGTGGTTGGGTGGAATGTAAAGTGTACTGCAGTTTTGGGGAGGAATGCAAACAATCGCAGTGCTGTGAAGGTTAAGCTAATTCTATTCCTCCCAGAAACTGCAGTGCTTATTATTTTATATTCTTTAAACTTACTTAACATCTAGATAAACACTAATGAATGGTTTCACAGCTTTAATAATTTAGACTGAATAGTTATTGACATTTTGTAAATGTTTCTTTTGTTTAAAGAGAGTGTAAACGTAATTTCAAGTGACCTTCCATATCCTTTAGATTGGGATATGTCCGATTCACGCACCTCTGCTCTTTTAGTAAAAGTAAATTCAACCTATTTGAAGCATAAAGTATGACCGCGTCAACCTTGTTGCACCAGCTAGTCCTGTCCACAGAGCTAGGTACAGTACAAACTGGGACCGGAATGCTTGACCCGGCTCGGAAATTCAGCCCGTGGATTAAAAGCTTTGTTCGAGTAAGTATGAGTTAGATATCGATGTTTTTGTTTTTGAAAACTGTTTACTCTATGTGGGTTTCCTGCAACATTAACCTGCACATTTATTGCTTCAGAAACAATGCAAAAATTATCAGAATTCAACACTTTTAAAGCAACAAAAACGACATTTCTGACCAGATTTAGGTTTCAAGAGTACCATTGTGAATAAGACACGTCAATGAAGGTCACTTGAAAGTACGCTTACAGTCCGTTAATAAGCGTACCTGATAAATCTGTTTTGTAATGAATTTAGCTCCAGCAGATCAGATTTTCCCTTTATCATAAGCTTGGAGAAATGGATGGACCAAACTGCAGAAAATATATCGCCATGCAGATTTCTTTGTAAAAATAATATTTGATCACAAAACTTGATTCTTAGCGACAAATATCATAAAAAGAATGTATTATTTGACTTTTATGATAATAAAAAAGAGAAAATAACCACCTTTTTGGCTAGTTTATTACGAAAATACAACATAAATTACATACTTATACTTGTTTTTTTTGAGATTTTGTTATAAATCTAGAAAAAATAATTAATGTTTTAAAGTTGAATGATAGGTTCAAACTATTAATTTGTCCTTGTTAAGCGCCAAAGAAAATCAAAACATGTTTTCAGGACAAGAGAAAAGAAGGGGAAAGGCAAAAAATTTTGCTCACCTATATTCAAATCTTAAAGAGCTGTCGAGAACTTTTAAATATTCTGTCTCTGGGTCTAAAAGTGTTTAATCTCTGTAATTTGAATGTTATCTTTTCCCGATTAAAATGGGAAATTTATTTCCATTCTACCCCCCCCCCCTCCTTATTGGTTTTGAACTCAGATTATAGATATCTATTATAGTAGCTGCTGCGCTTCTTAATAACTTGCACTAGACAAATCGAACTCATCAGTTTTTTAAAATCGAAAATTTTTAATATTCGATGGCACCTTTTATTTTCATACACAAATTGCGAAAGGCATATTTGTCAGAAAAAACTAAATTATCATAAAACTGTTGTTTTTTCATTTGGCTCAGATCTGTATGAAGAGGCTTGGTAAATCAAATTTAAACGTTGCAAAATTCAACTTTTTTTCTCTTTAATGATTAAAATTTTTCCTAAATCTGTTTGATGGAACTCTTGATCATAAATAATAACAAGCCTAGGCCTTGCTGTCCCGAATCTTACGTCCATGGAACCAATTTTCTAATACAAATTGTACCAGATGGGACACAATTGTACCAAATGGGACACAATTGTACCACATGGGACACAATTGTACCAGATGGGACACAATTGTACCAGATGGGACACAATTGTACCAGATAGGACACAATTTTAACAGCTGGGACACAAATGTACCTGATAGATTACAATTGTACCAGCTGGGCGTGGGACTCAATTGTACCAGCTGGGAGTGGGACACAATTACACAATTGTACCAGCTGGGATTGGGACACAATTGTACTAGCTGGGAGTGGGAAACAATTGTACCAGCTAGGAGTGGAACACAATTGTACCTGCTAGACCACAAGTGTACCTGTTATACCACAATTGTACCAGCTAGACCATGCAATTGTACCTAATAGACCAAAATTGTACATGCTAGACCACAATTGTACTGGTCACGCCACAATTGTACCTGATATGTCACAATTGTGCCTGTTAGTCCACCATTGTACCTGCTAGACTACAATTGTACTTACTAGACCACAATTGTACATGCTAGACCATAATTGTACTGGTCACGTCACAATTGTACCTGATAGGTCACAATTGTGCCTGTTAGACCACAATCTAACGGCTAGGTCACAATCACAATTGTACCAGTCATGCCTCAATTGCACAGGCTAGGCCACAATTGTACAAAATAGGTCCCATCGTACATTCCAAGTCACAATTGTTTCATGAAGGGACACAATTGTACATGCTGGGACACAATTGTACCTGTTAGGCCACAATTGTACCTGATATGGCCACAATTGTACCTGATATGGCCACAATTGTACCTGATATGGCCACATTTTTACTTGGTAGGATACAAATGTACCAGTTTGACCACAACTGCCAAGTAATACAAACTACATAATAATGATAATAAAAATAACAATAAGAAGAAGAATATTTATTTCGACGATTAAATGCATTAAGTTCTTTAATAAATTCTTAGAATTAAAAATTCTTTGAGTGTGTTGTTTTCATCAGGTACAGTGAAACCCTTAATAACGAATACATCGGAAGAATTTATCAAATGTCGTCTTGACAATTTTTCAATGAGTTTTATACTATATTACGTAAATTTCAGTATTTGAGAAAATAAATAAATAGCCATGAATATGCGGGAACAGTTTTAAAGAGTTCCATATAATCATTTAATTAAAAAACTAAATATCTGCAACATTCCATTTTCAGAAAGTGAAGAATACGACATTTGATGAATTCTTTCGATGTATTCGTTATTAAGGGTTTCACTGTATTTAAAAAAATTTATTTTGATATTTTTTCATCATTATTATTATTTTAATATTATTTATTTTTGAACTATAAGTCACCAATATCTTCCTTTATCTCTCTCTGAAATTAGTTGTAAAGAATTAATTTTTTCACACCTTGAAAATGATGATGTAGTAGCAAATTTCTATTTTCTTATTAAATTCTAGAAAACTTTCCGCATTTTCAAAAATAATCTTGACATTCTCATTTTCAGCTAGCAAAGCTTCTGAGGGGGTCCTGAACAACTTAAAGGTTAAAATTAATATAACACTCATGAGTCATGATACATATTATTTAAGGTGTAACTTTTAGCCCTTTTTTGATAAATTATGCTTAAATTCCCATTGCCCAATTCTATAGTTTTCTTTGATACACTTTTATAAAATGATATGAGAATTTTTAGTTTATATTAAAGGGTGTGTACGCAAAAAAGAGTGTGATAATAGGCTGATATTGAATTGAATTTGAAATTGATCGCTACTAAATTTACTTCTATTTGTTGTGATAAAGAGAAAATTGTACCCAAAAGCATTGCGTTTACGGAGTTACATTTTCACACTCAGTGTCCGAATTTAATGAATTTAAGTCGCGTCTTAAATCCACCAAAAACTGGTTTCAATTGAGCGCCGGCTTAAATCTTGAGGTAATGAATATGATTTTAAGTGGAACCAACCATATTTGAGCCGTGGCTTAAATTTAAGCCTCGGCTCAAATTCTTTAAAATCGGTCTCAGATTATAAATAATTCAATTAGATCTAAAACTTCTCATTCAGATATCACAACCTACAATGATCGAATTCAATTCGATGCATTCAAGTGCTACCTATGAAATTATTCCGATAATTTCGATGATTTTTTAAAATTTTCCAGGATTGTTCGAAACTCCAGTGATGCCGGCTAGGAAACCAAGTTTCAGGCGAAATGTTTTAAAAAAACTAAATTAAAAATATCATAAAATATCAATTATATACTAATGCATCGAATTGAATTCGTCAAGGGTAGGTTGTAATGTATGAATGAGTAGTTTTAAATATAATTGAATTATTTTTTATCTCCATGCAATAATGAAACTTGGTGAATTTGTATTGGTCCTCCGCTCTTCGGTATGAGTCGTTTTTATCCATTTTTTGTTGATGCGAAAAAGGATTTGTCAATGTCAATGAAATAGTTTTACCCTTGATATGATGAAGATAAAAATGCATTACCCAAGATAGATTTCAAGGCATTTGGAATCTCCTCCTCTGCTGAAAATCGACTTACTGAGGAATTAGATACTGGCCTCAAACTCTTGTTTTAATCACTATATATTTCCAATATTTTGTTGTAAATATTTGATATTTAAAATTTGACAAGAGTTAACTTATCAGTATTAATAGTTTTAACTTTTAAAGTTCTTTGGCATCAGTCTGCAACGATATTATGATTAGAAAATTGGAGAATGAAGAGAGAAATCATGTTGTAATATTTAATTGATATAATGTAACCAATGTGAGCTCAATAGCTCAGAATAGGGATAGTTCCATTGATGTAACCCCTTCAGTCCTCATACGGACCCGGAGCTAAGCTCGGATTGCAAGCAGTCTGTCCTATAAACATGACCGGGTATTAGCTCTTTTGTATAAAGCTATAGGTCAGACAGAAAGTGTGGTGGATGATAAGTCGCCTCATGTATAGTGTATGTATTCAGAGTTTGTCCGTTAAAAGATGCCATCCAGAAATTATGCTTTAACATGTGAAAAATTCTAGCCGCCGTTTAACTCTCTGTTTAAAACTGAGGCCAATTCAGGCCACCAGGCTGGGATACCCGAGGGAGCTGAAAATAAGGTTTGCGAGGCTTAAACCAAAATGGAGAGTTAGTCATGAGGAAGAATCGAAAGAAGAAAGATTAACGCGTCGTATGAGGCGGAGAAAAGGCGGAGAGTCTGCCAGAGAGCGTCGGCTTTCTTCGATTCATTAATATCAACCATTATTTGTTCTTTTTTTACTTGTAAAAACATTTTTTACTATACTTTGATGTGATTCATTCAAATCAACCACTTTTAAATGGTATTTTTATTTTATTTTCAATTATTTACAACAACTGAGGGGGAGAAGCAAAGGGTGCTCGTGCTCCTCCAAATTTGATCTGTGATCTCTCTCTTTAATCAAATATTGGGTGTAAAGAGTACACCCTGTATTTTCAGTGTAATCGATTTCCTTGAAAATGTAGAAATTAATTTCTCTGTAAGAAACACTGCACTAAGGTCTAAAACAATAAAAAATAAATAGTATGTCCCTATGTTATCTATTAACTGTAAACAGTCTCTATATTGTCTCTGATTTATCTATTAACTGAAAACAGTCTCTATATTGTCTCTGATTTATCTAGAACTGTAAACAATTTCTATATTGTCTCTGATTTATCTAGAACAGTAAACAATCTCTATATTGTCTCTGATTTATCTAGCAACTGTAAACTATCTCTATATTGCCTCTGATTTATCTATTAACTGTAAACAATCTCTATATTGTCTCTGATTTATCTAGCAACTGTAAACAGTCTCTATATTGTCTTTGATTTATCTAGTAACTGTAAGCAGTCTCTTTATTTTCTCTGATTTATCTATTAACTGTAAACAGTCTCTATATTGTCTCTGATTTATCTATTAACTGTAAACTGTCTCTAAATTGTCTCTGATTTATCTAGAACTGTAAACAGTCTCTATATTGTCTCTGATTTATTTAGGAACTGTAAACAGTCTCTATATTGTCTCTGATTTATCTTGTAACTGTAAGCAGTCTCTTTATTTTCTCTGATTTATCTTTTAACTGTAAACAATCTCTATATTGTCTCTGATTTATCTATTAACTGTAAACACTAAACAATCTCTATATTGTCTCTGGTTTATCTTTCAAATGGAAACAATCTCTATATTGTCTCTGATATAACTATTAACTGTAAACAGTCTCTTTATATTACCTCAGATTTATCTATTAATTGTGAGCAATCTCTATATTGTCAATGAATTATCTTTTAACTGTTAACAGTCTCTATGTCGCTGATTTGTCTATTAACTAAAAACAGTCTCTATATTGTCTCTGATTTATCTATTAACTGTAAACAATTTTTATATTGTCTCTGATTTATCTATTAACTGAAAACAGTCTCTATATTGTCTCTGATTTATCTATTAACTGAAAACAGTCTCTATATTGTCTCTGATTTATCTATTATTTTATTATTATTTATTTCGTAAACGTACGCAATTTAAATAATTGGTACAATTAAACAGAAGAAAAAAGAACTATAAGAGTATATATCAAAAATGAATACAAATACAAGAAACAAAATCATATTGTAATTAGGTCGTGCATATAAAGTCAATAATATCGTTAACTGTAAACAGTCTCTATATTGTCTCTGATTTGTCTAGTAAATGTAAGCAGTCTCTTTATTGTCTTTTATTTAACTTTTAAATGGAAACAATCTTTATATTACCTCATATTTATCTATTAATTGTAAGCAATCTCTATATTGTCACTGAATTATCTATTAACTGAAAACAGTCTCTATATTGTCTCTGATTTATCTAGAACTGTAAACAGTCTCTATATTGTCTCTGATTTATCTATTATTTTATTATTATTTATTTCGTAAACGTACGCAATTTAAATAATTGGTACAATTAAACAGAAGAAAAAAGAACTATAAGAGTATATATCAAAAATGAATACAAATACAAGAAACAAAATCATATTGTAATTAGGTCGTGCATATAAAGTCAATAATATCGTCAACAGTAAACAGTCTCTATATTGTCTCTGATTTATCTATTAACTGAAAACAGTCTCTATATTGTCTCTGATTTATCTAGAACTGTCCTTTAGGTTACAACTTTTTAGCTGTGATTATGAGTTCCGGAATTAAGCGCAGTTATTTCAATTTTTTGTTGCATTAAAATCATTGTGTTTGAACCTAGAAGGTCAAGATATAACGACAAATTAACTATCAAGCTTTCTACCCCCAAATCTAAAAGTTACTTGTGATGGGAATCAAGAAAATAAGAGATCAAGCGTTGTAGATTAGCGCTAATTCAGACAAAAGTTTCTACCTTTGTTTTTAATGTTAAAGGGACTGTAAAGGAAAAATGAAAGGGGGTATAGGTTGAAAGCTAATCCCTTTAGCTCTTGATCGCGACCCATGAAAGTTATATCTGATGTTCCTGTCTCGAGAAATTGATATAAAACAGTGTTAAAATTATACGAAAGTTCGTATATGTAAAATTTAGAAAATCTTAAATTTAAATCACGTGCTCATAACTACCACCAATGGCAGAGCAGTATACTGGTCACGTGTCTCCGCCTGTATCACGTGACCACTTTACTGCACTGCTTTTGGTGAAATTTCTGGTCAAGTAATACGAACGTATAAATAATATTATGAATTAAATCTATTAAAAATAGAAATAACAAATATAAAATTAGAATTGGAGTAAATGTAAGTTACAATTAGCTTTCTCTAGGATATCATCGTTTTCAGTTTGGTTGATTACAATTGCTGTATATGATCTATTTAAACCTACTACTTTTATACAAAATTGTATATATATTAATTTTTGTATAAATTTGACAAAGTTGTATACCAATTTCTCGAAATAGGAACATCAGATATAACTTCCATGGGTCGCGATCGAGAGATAAAGTGATTAGCTTTCAGCCTATGCCCCCTTTCATTTTTCCTTTACAGTCCCTTTAACTGTACCTAACGAACGATATACCAGCCAAATATCGTCTTTATCGTCAAGGAAAACTCCACAAACAATAAGTTTACGTGAAGAGAAGGATTCGTAGTTTTCTTCATGTCCTCCATGTTTGCGTCTACGAACACTACAGGTTGGTGGATTTAAATAATCTTGTTAGTGGATTTCTTCCTAGATCAGGAGGACTTTATTGGCTTCACTACATAGAAATGGACATTGTTTTTGTGACCGAACGAAATATTTACGAACGAACGAAATTTTTCGTGAACGATGGTGTAAAAATTATCTTTTTAAAAACGAACAAAAAAACTATTATTGTTTACTGAACAAACGAACTTTCCGAAATGATTTTGAAAAATAAAATATCTTTTTTTAATTGTACGAAAGATTTTTGAAACAAACTTCTAATGAAACCATTGTTTTTTTACTAAACGATCGATTTTTTTACAAACTTTTAAAAAACGATTTTTTTTACTAACGAACAATTTTATTGAATAAAGGATTTTTCTTAACGAGCGATTTTACTGAACGATTGTTCAGTGAGAGAAAGAACGAATTAGATGGAAAATTAACTATATTTTAGAAAACGAACGAACAGGGTAGTTCACGAATCACGAACAATGACCGAATGAACCCACCCATCTCTACAGTGCTACAGAGTAACCTTTAACATTCTTACCGTCTTCTCTGGGAAACAGAAAGGCTGCTGAAGTTGATAAAAATAAACAAAAAAGATGGGGTTTAAAGTTTTCCACCATTTCGTAAATTCTGAAATCCAAATGTGAAATCAATAAAAAATTAACCCTAGTGATTTCCAAAAAAGATTCATGGTTCTTAAAAGCATATTCAAGATACATAGCTAAAACAAAATTTTACTTAACAACGCTAGGAAATGTGAACCGTAATTTTTGATAATTTTTGTAAAAAAAGAAGTTCACTTTACGGTGTGATCTTTAAATTCTAAATCAAAAAATTTTCCAGCTTTATGCTTGGAATAGGCATACAATTAAAATTTTCATATTTTCATTTGGTTCTGCTTTATTTCTATTTTGAATTCATTTTGGTCATTTTTTGACATGTGATAATTGACATTTTTGAAGGAAAAAAATACGCAATTAAAAAAAGAATTCCCAAGCTTTTTATCAGTTGTGTTTGTCTATGGTCTACGAATGATCAAATTTACAAAAAGGAATTGAGTGTTTGCCACAAACTCTGATTTTATAAACCCTATATCTTTGGAAACCAATGTCCTATACCTTAGATATTTCAAACTAAGAATTCTGTTAGATCAAATAATATAAGTTTGAAATATCGAAGGTTAACGTCCTTGGGTTCCAAAGATATAGGGATTAGAAAGAAAGAGTTTGTGACAAAGACTCAATTCCTTTGCTTCTAAGAAAATTCGATCTTTGAAAATTTTGAAAATCCACGACATTTTTTATCAAGTACGCGAAATTTCATTGCTTTTGTTTTAAAATGTATACAAAGAGAACATGATCACAATTTAAAGACG